TATTTGTAGGTTTTGGATTGTGAATGCCCCAATAATCGTGGAGCTAGTTCTGAATAATTATTCATGGCAAAGACTAATATTCAAAGAATTAATTAGCCATGAATTATTCATTTGAGTCCGAAAGAAATAACATATATTTTGAAATACTGCAATAAACGAAGATAGACCTGTAGAAGAATATAAATATCACATCCACAGAGAATAATGAATTAGTACTTACCCTGTCCAGCAAAAAGATTTAAGTTCATCCTCAACTTTAAAGCAACTCACATGTTCAGTGTTTTATTGCACTGGGAGGTTTACTTAAGGAAGAGTAGTGCCCAGTGGGATTGTTCTGCTGACAGAACTGTTTCTATAGCTAGAACTAGGAGGGGGTGGTGGATTCCTCCCCCTCCCCAGTACCTTCAGAATCTCCTCAAGCAGACAGCACAGATGGCTGCAGAAAGGAGAGAAGAGAAGAGAAGCAGGTCCCACTGTGGCGGCAGACTGTAAAATGCATGATACTCCATTTGGGCCACTAGGTTTACTCTTGCTTTAGGTTTGCGAAACTCCGTAGCAAAGTATGCTGCTTGGAAGAAACAGCAGTGTCCCCAAAGTACTTTCCATTAAGTGTGCCAGTGTGCTCTGAAATTTCAGGGCCAAAACCTGAGACCAGGAGGTGGGCCCTTGAGATGTCACAGAGGCCAGGCAGGCTACGGGCAGAAGGGCTTTTGATCCAGTTGAACGTTGGAAGGAGCATGAGGGGGATCTGAGTAAATGAAGCCACAGTCCTGATAAAATCTGGTTCATCAAACGATACGGTGCTCCAGTGCCAGGGGTGGGCGGGGATATTGGGGCTATCACAGTGACTGTGGTAGTTATTGCCATTCCTGCTCAGGGTTGCATTTCACATGGCCCCACCTATGGCACATATGATAACAGGGTTCCCCCCCCCAAGTATCAAGTTGCTGGGACTCAGGGAAGGCTCAAGTCACTGTTAGTCCACAACGAGAGTTTCCCCCCAGTAGGCCCTGCACCACAAATAATGTGATGGTGTGCAAAGAGGAAAATCCAGATGTTGCAGTGCTGGTTCTCCTTTCTTTGTCTTGTTCCAAATGCCATAATGGGCCTAAGCTGACCAAGCTCCAGCAGCTCTCTCCCCTCCACCTTGCTTTCACTCCTGCATTTTTGGTATGCCAACCGTGCATAAGCACAACACTTTGGTGCTGAGTTGGTAAGCCCTGGTGCTACCTGGGAAGTATTGGAAGTGGGTGCCCAGGCCTTAAAGACAGCTCACATACCTGAAACCAATCTGTTACACCCTTCAGCATCATTTACCCTTAGATTTGTCTTCCTACCTAGAATTCTCAAAATGTAGCATTTGATGACTTCCACCTATGCTGTGAGATCTGCTAAGCCTTGCTGCAATGGATATGTCACATTGGCAAAAGCTTTCCAAATAGTATCTTCTGTTGACTGTGCTTCACACACTACCCTGCTCTGCACCACCTTACCCCTGCCCAATACTAGTCGCAGGGCTGATCCTGATCCTTAGCCTGAGTGGAAGACTCACCTGGGAGCAGCAAATGCACCCTCCCTATCCTGCCCTGGTAGGACGTCTGCTGCATGAGAGGGTGGCCAGTCTGTTGCTACTCTGTGCAGCCTCATTCCAAGAGTCTGCCTGTTTGTTAAAAAAAGTGAAGAAGGGGCTGTCCTATGTCCTATTAAAGAAGCATAGGAAACAACTACAGTGGTGCCTCGACTTATGAACTTAATCCATTCCAGAAGATGGTTGTAACTCGAAATGGTTGTAAGCTGAACCAGCATTTCCCATTGAAATGCACTGAAACCAGATTAATCCGTTCTGGCTGTTTTTGGTGGTATCTCAAGGCGCCGGTTGCAACTAGAAGCATTCGTTCCCATAGGAACAAATGCAAAAGCGGTTAATCTGTCAGTGACCACTAGGGGGAGAATTTTTCTTCTTTTAAACTAAGATGACTTAGGTTTTAAAAAGGGCAGGAAAGGAGGGAGGGAGGGAAAACTGGAGAAAAGAGGAAAGAAAGAAGGTCATCACTGGGGCACAGACCCTTCAGACAAAGGTTTGTGCTGTTAAGCACAAAAAGAGAGAAGATAGAGAGAAGACAATGGGGGGGGAGAGAGTTTGGAGTCTAAAACACTTTTTAAACAAAACACTTTTTAAACCAAACCAAGCACCTTTTAAACCAAACACATTTGAAACAAAACCAAGCACCTTTTAAACAAAACATATTTTAAAACCAAACACCATTTAAAACCAAACAGATTTTAAACCCACCCACCAACACCTTGTCCCAGCAAACAGACCCCCTCAGCACAAAAAGAGAGCACAGAGAGAGAGAGGAGACAAGGGGGGGAGAGACTTGAGTCTAAACCCCATTTTACACCATGATTTTAAAACAAAAAGACTTTGAAGTCACATTTTAAACCCACCAAAAAAATACTGTATAGTACCAGGCAGTCTGAAGTCTCTCTCCATACACACACTCTCTAACCGCTGGGGTGAATGAGAAACAGAGAAGCAGCTTCTTCGCTGACCAACAGAACTGAAAGCAGTTCAAATTTCTCACTTTTCCTACCTTCCCTGCATTGTTTCTTTTTCCAGTCGTAACTCGAAGCTCCAGTTGCAAGTCGAAGCAAAATTTTGCGACCGGAGCTGTTCGTAACTCAAAATGGTCGTAAGTTGGGACGTTCGTAAGTTGAGGCACCACTGTATGTGAATAAGGAACATCAATTTAACCATCAAACAAGTGGAGTCTCCAGTATATATCCCCAAATCTGGCATAATAATCAACGTCTGGGTTCAGTTCATCCTTGGGAAGTTAAACATTTTTGATCCAGATAGTATTTAGATTAAATTTAGTAGAGTTTTTAAGGAAGAGTAAAATAGAGCAACATGAGTCTCTCACACAATGTAAAACGTACAGGGTGCAAAAAGAAAAGAGGAAATCAAGAGTGGGCTAGGATTTCTAGCCATTAAAGTGGCTAAGAATACACCCGAAGTATATCCTTCAAATTCTGGACATTAGCTTTTACAGATAGATATCTCCTCTTCCAATGACCATTAAGATATATAGCTCATGGCAAATCTGAATAATTGTGGAAGGGTGTGAATGGCTGTTCGTCTATTGAAATCCCAGCATATCCTCAGCCTGTTAGAGGGGTTTTCTCTTCAACACGCTTAGAGATTATTCAAAGTCCTCTTTGAAATCTAGGGAACATATCCATAGTTACCATAATTATTATTGATAGTGAAAAAACTCTGATTAATAGATCCAGGAAATCTCTTGTTTCCCTCCCTAGTCAGAAGTAGGTTGCAGTTCCTCTTACTTGCATAAAAGTATTAGATGAACAACTATTTATATCCCTAGTCTTTCTATCATTTCACCCATCTTTGTCACAAGCTTAATGGGGCTCTGTGTTTGTATTCTATTTTCGCTACCCAAAAGAAAGCTTGGGGTTGTGGTGGAGTAGTTCCATCTATTGTGAATGCAGAATGTGCTTTTTGGATGGTGGCTTTAGGAAATTAAACTGATCAAATTGTCTTTTATTGAGGGTACTGTTTTGGAAAATTGTCATCCCCTTTCAGAGCGAAGGCAACCTCTATAAATTGCATACCGAATCGTGCCCGAGTGTTTTCTATGCCTAAGTAGGGACAGCTGGTAACACAGTTTATAAGCAATTGGTGTCCAAAAAGCAACCATTTGCACTGCCTCCCCGACACACACACACACACACACACACACACACAGACAAACAGACAGACAGACACAGACACACACACAGACACAGACACACACACACAACACACACACACACAGACACACACACACACACAGACGCAGACACACACACACACACACACACACACACACACACTTACTTTTCTCCTTGGACAGTTTGCCCAAATACACTGATTATGTGAAATACAGTATTGCTATTAACCAATAGAAGAGAATGCTTTGGTTGCCTAGTAACCTAATTCAATTGAAAGAAAAAGAGAGAAAAGAAATAAAAATAGAAAAACAGGCATGCTCAGTGCCAAGCCAAAGAAATATTCTAACTTGCAGCAGTTTAAAGCTGGAATTTGACCATTATTTTTAGTAGCATGGCCAGGAAAATGTATTAAGTAGGCAGATAGAACTGCTGGCATTCTCTCATGTGGCTCAGTATACATTTTGAGCAGGTACTTTTGGTTCTGTCCTACTTAGCCAAGGACACTCATTCCTCCACCAAGCATGTGTATATATAACTAGTTCAGGGGGAAAGTGGCTAAATGGGGCTTGTTCCCTTAATTAGAAATACATTATTTTCTGAACTAAACTACTAGAAGACACTAACTTTAACCATATTACTATAAGTAGGAATAGCTTGAGTGTTTGCAGTCTAGAACAGCGGTTCCCAACTTTGGGTCCCCAGATGTTCTTGGACTGTAATTCCCAGAAGCCCTTGCCAACACAGCTAGTGGTGAAGGCTTCTGGGAGTTGCAGTTCAAGAATACTTGGGGCCCCAATTTTGGGAACCAATGATCTAGACTATAAGGTAGCTCACGTGTGAATGCTAGACCCTTGAGTGGAGAGATTAGGCAGCCTTCTATCTTGAGAGACTATGGTAACGTGCTCTGTATGGAGGACTTGGAACAGCATCTAGTGTGGCTGAGGAGGCCAATTCAAGAGTGACAATCCCTTCTACACCGAAGGCAAATATAATCTTTCCCCTGTCCAGCTCCCTGATTTTGCTGGGTTTGGGTCTGCCTCTTTGCCTCAGCCTGCTGGACAAGTGTCTCTTCAAATGGGGAGAGGCCATGATGCACCGCCTGCCTCCGGGCTGAATGTTCAGATATCAAGGTTTCCCATCTGTCGAAGTCCATTCCTAGGGCCTTCAGATCCTGCTTGCAGATGTCCGTGTATCGCAGCTGTGGTCTGCCTCTGGAGAAGACAGCTTTATATTTACATGCCTTTTACAATGCTGCCTCCCCCTTCCAGGCATCCAGTTGTTGAAGAAAAGCCTCTTTAAACGTGCTTGCCTGCCTATGGAAGGACAGCAAAGAAGGTTCCAGCTTGACCTCCCGTGGAAGGGAATTCCACAGGTTGGGAGCATGAATTTACGACAGCATTTTTTAAAAAGCAATTCAGCCAAATTTGCACTACACATTACAATTTCAGCCTTCATTATTATTATTATTATATAAGTATTGTAAGAATAATGTTCAGAATCCTGTTTCCAATGTAGAGAGCATAACTTTATCAGAATAACTGTCAACTGTAAATTGCTGTAGTTAAGAAATGAGCATAGGTAGTTCCTGTTTCTCAGAGTCATGCATAATGGATATGTGATAGGAAATGCCTATGTGATTTCTTAACATGTGGGAATTTGCTGTTGAAACTTATGTCAATGGAGTAATTAGTAGGATTCTGACTGTTATATTTATAATAAACATATTTGTAATAGATTTCTATTGTAATAGATTTATATTATTTATTTTATATTTTATAGTCTCATGAATACACAAATGTATTGATTCCAATGATTGATTTAAAACAAATTGCTTCCTGGTTCAGCATCTTTGTTGTTCAGAATCTAGTCTGTTACTATCTGATAAAAAAGTAAGCATTCTAACAAGAACCAACTTGCTTATTCTGGTCACTAACATTATCAGAATTAATTATATTGGTTAATAATGCTATTCTCAATTTGACATTTCCTATTTCCCAACTGCCCTGTATACTTGTATATACTGTAATGGATTTTGACTAAATAACCGGCACTGTGTGCTTGAGAAATCCAAAAAAGCTCAAACTGAAATAAATTTGTTAGCCTTTGAGGTGCTTCTATACTTTGGTTTTTCATGTTTGTTTTGCATATAATAGATGTTGAAGCAGACTAACATGGCTATAACTTATTTTGGGGAAATGTGAGACTAAGTATTTTTTTTAAAATGCAACAATGATGGTAACTAATTTTGAGGACCCTGGAATGATAATGATAATTAATTACTTTTTTTGAAGTAGTTTCCTAATTTCTGATTCCACTAAAGCAAATTAAAGCTGCTGCTAGGATATCTTGTGTGATTCTGGTTAGAATTTGATTTGTGAAACCCAATCACCTCCCTTCCCATCCCACATCAGCTTCTACATCGAGGTAAATAAACCAAAAGCAGTGACATGGAGCTTTATTAGCACCGAGGCCCTTGCTTTTCCATCCTCCTTGTCGTCCCCCTACAGTTTGAGGAAGGCATAAAACAATGGCTTTAATGAGCCCTGTGTTCTGTGATGAGTCAGTAGAGCTGTGAAGAGGTAAAGCCCCACTCAGTGCCATCTGATCACGCATCTGTTCTTTGACTGGAAAGGAAATGTCAGTGCATTAAAAAAAATCTGCTGACATAGCCATAGATAACAGTGTCAGTGTAGAGGAGAAGTGGCAGGAAAATGAAGATGTTGTGGCAGTTAACTTACACAAAAAGACTTTGAAGCATTGAGTCCTCTGTTCTGAAGCCGGCTGCACACCAGAAATGCAAGCAAATACAAGTTCCATTTCTTATGGGTGCAGGAGTCTTGTTTTAAATGTCTTCACCCCCACCTCTCGTGTGCACACACACATCATTTTTTAAAATATCTACAACCCTAATAAGTAGGAGGTACTGTAGGTTAGATTGAGGGATGGTGCCTGGCTCAAAGTCAACCAGTGAATTTTATGTCTAAGTAGGGAGTTGAGTCCCATCCTAATTTGAACCCTTAAGGATTCCAATGTGCTGGATTATACTGGCAGACATATGGCCATGTATAAAGGTCACATGGTCTGCAGACCTATAGATATTGACCAGTCTCAGCCATGCTTCTGTGTGGCACCTGTGTTGCATCATGTGCTGAAAAGACACAGATTCATATAACACACGTGTGTGCTGTTTTATATTTTGTGTTAATAACACAAGTGTTTTGCAGGTGTAATTGAAATCATCTTTCTGAACCAGACCTGGTTCAAGTCTGGTTGAAAAAAAATAAAGATCTTGTCTAAAGAAAGGAGAGAAGGGGTATTATATTTTCCACCAGCAGTCAGTATAATAGAGTAAGCAAGAGCAGATCACTTATTCACAATTCTTTCCACTGTGATGAGTAGTCTATTTAGATTTAAATTATAGTACAATTTCCAAGTATGTGTTTATACATATAAAATACCACATACACATTTTAAGAATATTTGTGTCTGTTCTTTTTGGGCAATGCATTTTTTTTGTGGAGAGAGCTGATGTGTAAGCAACCATCTTTCTGTCTGTGATCTTGAAAAGCAAGATGAGAAGATAAATATGACACAAATTAATAAAATAGATTGACATAAATTAATAAAATAAATTAATAAAAATATTTACTTCCTTTTTTGAAGCCACAAAAAGCAAAGTGTACTGCTTATATACCGCCCCATAGCACTTCAAGCAGTCTCTGGGCAGTTTACAAGTTAATAATGCAGGCTACACATTGCACACACCCCCCGCAGCGAGCTGGGTACTCATTTTACCGACCTCGGAAGGATAGAAGGCTGAGTCAACCTTGAGCCGGCTACCTGGGACTGAACTCCGAGTCATGAGCACAGTTTTGGCTGCAGTACAGCGGTTTAACCACTGCGCCACAAGGCTCATCAAAACATCAGACATCAGCAAAAAAAAATTTTAAACAAGCGAGGAGATCTTTGGTCTTCTCAGTGTTTTGGACTACAAATCCCATAATTCCATGTTGGCTTGAGGTTCTGGACACATAACCCCCAAGATATCTTTGCTGTAGAATTTATTTGCAATTGTATCATGTGAATTATAATTGTCATTATAAATATTTCCATCCCACCTATTGGGGTTTTATTATTCAGAAGATTGATTTGGTTTCAACCAGGGCAGGGGAGTGGTGTTTCCAAGTTCTGCTTGTTTAAGATGTTTGAGTTGTGTCCTGCATCCAGTTTCATTCATTGTCATAACAGTGCCTGGAAAAAACGTCTTGTAAAAATTCACACTGAGTCCTGTCGTAGAACACAGTTAGAGATGGGCTTGAACCTGAAAAATGGTTTGTGGTGGTCTGTAGTTCTTAGTTAGCCACACATCACGAACCACTCCCGCCACAAACCAAACATAAAACCAAACCAGTTTGCTGTTCAGTTTTCAGTTCCTGGGGGCTTCCTGCTCCTTTCCCACCGCTGCCTTTGTCATGCTATCGCCACTGCCTATCAACTGGGTGGTGGTCGTCTAGTCGTTTAATCGTGTCCGACTCTTCGTGACCCCATGGGCCAGAGCACGCCAGGCCCTCCTATCTTCCACTGCCTCCTGTAGCTGTGTCAAATTCATCTTGGTTGCTTTGATGACACTGTCCAACCATCGCATCCTCTGTTGTCCCCTTCTCCTCTAGCCTTCACACTTGTCCTTGCAGCCCAGGGGACTCTCAACTGGGTGGTAGGTGCATGCAAACAGCCAAAGGGCCCAGCTTCCCTGCTGATAGCTGGGTGTATGTGCCAAGGCAGCAGCTGGCTCCTGGCAGGTGAGTCGGGCCCGCTGCCTCTGAGGATCGAGGCAGGAGCAGTTAAGGAGGCAACGAGGGCAGTGGGGAAGGGTTGGGTGGGCATCCCATTTTGGCGAAGCAGAATTAATTGCTGAGGGGGGAAAGTTCAGCATGTCATTTGGCTTCAGCAAAATGGGATCCCTGAACCTGGTTATGAGGCAAACCATGAACCAGCCCAGTTTGCCAATTTTTCTGGTTCACAGTTCAGTTTCTGCCCATCTGTAAGCACAATATCAAGCCCTATTGCAATTCAAAATGGCATTCAGTCCCATTCTTTTCTGCTCCATTTTTAATAGATGCACTGCAGTTTGGGGCAGTACAGGACTGCCCTGTTCTCCCTGCCAGTTGCCTGCCCACCCCTTCCCGACCTCCTTCGTTCGCCACATCATGCTCCTCCTTCAGCTACTGTCATGTCTTCCCCCAACCTTTGTGCCTCCATTGTACATGCAGGTCTGTGATTCCTATTTCTTTAGCCAGTAATTAAAATTGCACATCCAAAGATGGATGGTAAACACCTTTAAAAAATGGGAGCAGGAGTCAGGTATGGATGTTCCCATCATGCAACCTCCTGCCCAAGCTCCAACACCTCTGCGATGACAGTTTCTTGCCTGGTTTCTTGCAAACATGTAGTAGTTCCAGATCTGCTCTGTTTGACATGCCAGAAATACAAATAATTGGATGCATTATGGCACAGTTTCAAAGATCTGCTGGAATTAGCAACACCTTTCTTTAAGGGGACGTGGTGCTGCTGCGGGTTAAACCGCAGAGGCCTCTGTGCTGCAAGGTCAGAAGACCAACAGTCGTAAGATTGAATCCACACGACGGAGTGAGCTCCCGTCGCTTGTCCCAGCTCCTGCCAACCTAGCAGTTCGAAAGCATGTAAATGCAAGTAGATAAATAGGTACCACCACAGTGAGAAGGTAACGGTGTTCTGTGTCTAGTCGCGCCGGCCACGTAATCACAGAAACTGTCTATGGACAAACGCTGGCTCTACGCCTTGGAGACAGGAATGAGCACCGTGCCCTAGAGTCAGACACGACTGGACTAAATGTCAAGGGAACATTTACATTTACCTTCTTTGAAACAGGTATTGTATTTTTATAGTAAAATATGTCTGGAAGTAAAATGAATAGAACTTTAGGGAGGAAAGAACACCCACAACTTTCACTAGTTAAAGTAGTCAACAATATGTTGCCTGCGAGCCTCTGAGGCAGCTAACCAAGTTGTACTCTACAGCTAATTTAAACAAATCAGTTGCAAAACAAATAATTACCACCTTTTGCTATCTTCTTTTCAAACTACCCAAAATACAGAAATTAAGTCATCATCTTTTATTATTTCTGCCAATGGTTATTTGTACAGTGGTACCTAGACTTATGAACTTAATTCGTATTGAGACGGTGTTTGTACGTCAAAACGTTTGTAAGTCGAAGTACCATTTCCCATAGGAATGTATTGAAAACTATTTAATCCATTCCGGATGTTTTTCGTTCTTAGGTAGAGTCATTAGTTCCCATATGAACTAATGCAAAGCCAGTTAATCCGTACTCAACCACTAGGGGAAGAATTTTTCAAAAAATTTTCTTCTTTTAACCTTAGATGAACTTAGGTCAAAAAAAGAGCAGGAAAGGAGGGAGGGGGGGGAGGGAACACCTTCTAAACAGAAAACCTTTTTTTAAAAAGCACCTTTTAAACAAAACGAAGCCAAGCCAAGCACCTTCTAGGTAAAAAAAGGGCAGGAAAGGAGGGAGGGAACACCTTCTAAACACAACACCTTGAAAAGCACCTTTTAAGCCAAGCCAAGTCAAACACCTTTTAGATAAAAAGGGGGCAGGAAAGGAGGGAAGGAGGGACAGAACAATGTAGAAAAGAAAGAAAGAAAGAAGGTCATCACTGGGGCACACAGACCCCTCAGACAAAGGTTTGTGCTGTTAAGCACAAAAAGAGTGAAGACAGAGAGAGAAAACAGTGTGGGGGGGGAGAATTTGGAAGCTAAAACACATTTTAAAACCAAGCAATGTTTAAACAAAATACATTTTAACATGAAGCAAGCAACTTTTAAACCCTGCAAGACCCATCAGGGCACAGAAACATAACCCCCCCCAGACCTACTCCCCTACCAAGCTGCAGAAAACCCTGTACAGTACAGTAAATACAGTGTACTCACCCAGAACAGGCAGTTGCCCTGTTTTTTTAGAAAAGGGTCAAAAATCCAAAAAGAAAAAAAATCCAGAAATCAAAACTGCAAAAAACAAAAATTAAAAAAGGCAAAAGAAATACAGTCTGTACAGTGCAGTACAGGCAGTGTACTATACCAGGCAATACCAGACTGTCTCCCTATCCACTCACTTAACCGCTGGGACGAGTGAGGTTGCAGACAAGCAGCCTCTTCACTGGCCAACGGTCAACTGAAAGTTCAAATTTCATGC